GGCTAGGGCTTCGACATAGGAATTTTCAGGGCAGGCATCAAACATATAATTCCACAAACATTTAAAACTATAATACAATAAAAGCTACAAGGAAAAGTACTTGGCATCCCTAGTCTGGGGTCAAGTGGGGGTCAGAAAGGGTTCCCCTGAGGAGGTGACATGTTTCATGTGCCCTGTGCTGGGCACGGAAGGTAAGTTTCAGGCAGAGCAATAGCAGACATGAAAGCCTGAGGGGGGAAGGAGCTGGGCGGGTTCCACGAACCAGAGAAGGCTCGAGGGTGGCTGGCAGCCTAGTGATGGCCATGGGATCAATTCATACAAATCCCTCTCTCTTTGTCTCTCTTTGTCTCTCTCTGTCTCTCTCTGTCTCTCTCTGTCGCTCTCTCTCTCTCTCTCTCTCTCTTCTTTCTTCTCTCTCCTCTCTCCTCCACCCCCTTCCTTTTTTTTCCCCCCACATAGGCTTCAAAGAGGTCTCCAGCCCAAGGTCAGCTGCTGAACTTGAGAAGGACATAGGGTCAGGGGCCCCTAGCTGAGCCAAGGCAAAAGTCCCCAGGTTCAAAATGCTGAGTACAGCCTGGGCTGTTGCCTTCTGCTCTCTTTTCTCTGCACTGCAGTGTGGGTGGGAGGATTAACTCCTTGTGATCCGAGTGATGAGAGGGACCAAATGACTCAGAAGCAGGGTCATCCTAATGCATAGAGGGCTGGTTATAAAGGGTTCCCCGACCCCAGGACAGGCAAGACAGAATGCACTTGGCAGGACACTGTGAGATCTTATTTACTGGATCCATTATCTGAATTAGGAACAATTTGAAATTATGATCACGTGATAAAAATCAAAGATAAGAGTGTTTGCAATCATCCTCGCCCCTGCTTGTGTTGTGGGCATTGTGGAGGCCTCTCCTACCTTTCCTCATGTTTCAGATTATTTAATTAAATTTAACTAGTTCTCTGGAGCCCAGAAAAGGAAGAAGGGAGCCAGCATTTACTATGTGCTACGCACTGCATTAAGCCTGCATTATCCTGGAGGCCTCGCACAGCAGTTCAGTTTCTCATTTAATTTTCCAAGCAGCTCTACACAGACGGTGTTACTATCCACATTTGATGGGTAGGAGTATGCTGAAGTTTTGAAAGATTGAACAACCTAATTGTAGTCCCTTAGTTAGAGTTATACATCTGTCTGTCCATCTGCCCATCCATCCACCTATTCATCTAGCCATCTGTTCATCCATCTATCCATCATCCACCCATCTAACCATCATCCATCCACCCATCCATTCATCCATCCATCCATCCAACCATCTACCCATCCATCCACCCACCCATCCATCCACCCACCCATCCATCCATCCATCCATCCACCCACCCATCCATCCATCCATCCATCCATCCACCCATCCATCCACCCATCCATCTACCCRTCCATCCACCTGTCCATCCGTCCATCCATCCATCCATCCATCCATCCATCCAACCGTCCATCCATCCATCCAACCATCCATCCACCGCTTGGTCAACAATACTTACTGATCATGTTTCATGTGCTGCTGGGTACTGGGGTATCACTGGGGAAGGAGACACTTGGTCTTCTGCCCTCATGGACCTCTCAGTCTAGTGGGGTGGGTGCTCAGACCTCCTGGGCCCCTTGGGTGGGATGTCTCAAAGGGCTTCTTATCTGTAGCTTCATCCCAAGGTCCCCTACACACTCTGGGTCTGGACTGGGGTGTCTGGAAAAACTTAGGGCTTTTCAGTGGCACATGAGCTACTCTTAGCCCTCAAAGGGAATGTATTTTGGGTGGGCAACTGACTTGAGGGTTGTCCCAGAATATGGGCCTTTTAGTGCTAAAGCCAGAGTCCTGGGCAAACGTGGATGGTTGGCTGCCATAATTCAGTGGTTCTCAACAGTGGGGTGATTTTGCTATCCCCCACTCAGGAACACTTGGCAACGTCTGGTGACATGTTTCGTGGACACAGCTAGGGTCGGGGAGCTGCTGCTGTCTTTCTAGTGGGTAGAGACCAAGAATGCTGCTCAACATCTTACAGTGCCCCAGGGCAGCTTCCTTCACAAAGAATCATCCAGTCTAAAATGTCAGTGGTGCCCCAGGCGCAAGAGAGGTGCTAGAAGTGCCGCAGTTACTGATGTCAGAAGCGCCATTCAGCCATTGGTGGGTGGAGTTACTGATGCCAGGAGCAGCATTCAGCCAGTGGTGGGTGGAGTTGGAGGGCAACTATCCCAGCTTCTTTGCCTGTTAGGTGGGGAAACTCCAATGCATGTTCGACATTGTCTCCCAGACTTTCCCAGTGGAAATGAGCTCCCGCGTTGCCCATGGTGGTTGCCTGCTTAGTAACACAGCCCTTCAGTGGCTGCCTTCCATTCCCTGACTCATCCGCCCCTCGCCTACTGACACTACCCCGAAACTACTTGCACTCAAGTTAACTCAAGGTTTGCTTCTGGTGGAACCCAATTATCTTTAGAAAAATCAAACATGGCCAGTTTCATTTAAAGATAACAGTGGGTTTACACTTGGAAACTCCATTCCCCTTCTCCCCATTTCTGGCCCCTGAGCTCAGTTCCGGGGTCCTGCTGCACAGCCAACTGCAGATGCCTGAGGGCGGGTGGCCACGTAATGCTAAGCAGCAGTTCGTGCAGAAGCTGCCAGTGGGTGGCCCTCTTTGGGTGCCGTCATGTGCACACAGATTTGCCTAAAGGGACGTGAGCGGTGGGGTGATGTTGAAGCAAGACGTGGAAGGGGAGTTAGAAGCAGTCAGGCCAGCTGGGCTTCCTTTGACCTTTCCTCATTGGCACAAGCCATTTGTTTCTGTTGGCCTTGTGATTATACAATGAGGCTTTTCCTACCCTTAGTTGAGCATAGGTTAGCTGGGTAAGGATAGCAGGGCGGGTGATATTCCAGGCTTTAGAGTCAGACAGAGTTGGACCTGAAACCTGGAGTTGGCATTTATTAGTTCTTTGCCCTTGGATGACTTACTCAGTCCCTTGCCTCATGTGATTGTCATGACAATTAAATGATAAAATGCACATAGAACGGTATGCTTTGTGCCTGGCATGCTGTATAGTTTACACGTAACAATTACAATACTGGTGTGTGTGTGTCCATGCATACAATATATATGTATGATATATATATCCATGAATATAGATTCATGAATGCAGGATAAAGGCCTATTTTCTTCAAAAAATTGTTTTCAATATTTACATTTTCAAGTCTATACAAAAGTAGAAAAAATAATATAATGAACCCCCAAATATCCATCACCCAGCTTCAGCCGTTATTAATATCTTTTTTTTTTTTTTGGCTGCACTGTGCGGCATGCAGGGTCTTAGTTCTCTGGGGATCAAATCCGTGCCCCCTGCATTGGGAGCGCGGAGACTTATCCACTGGACTGCCAGGGAATTCCCTCAATATCTTGTTTTATCTATCCATCCCCTGATATATAGATATAGATATTGATATAGATATTTTTTTGAGTGTTTCAAAGCAGATTTCAGACAACAAGTCATTTCAGCTGTCATCTTCCATTTGCACTGTAATGAGTTTAGCCTCACTCTTCACCCAGGGCTGAAGACCCTCTGGGGAGTGCCACCAGGACTAGCATCTGCCCTGGGCAGTGGGCTCCCCGTGGTCCCTTTCCACAGTCCTGGGGACCAATGTCCTCGCCCCCCACACGTGTGCTCTTTCCTCCCAGGCCTTTGTAGTGATCGTTTCGAGGTCGTATGTCATTTCTACCCAGGTACTTGCCGCCTGCTTCTCCAGACTTAGCCGACATAATTCATGCTGAGCGTCTGTCTCGACTCTGGAAAGGCGCTGCTGCCTCTACATTTCACAATAAATATCTTTTTAAACGACCTGGTGTTCAGGCCCGTTTCTCATTTCCAAGGAGGCTTTTGACTGATGACCTAAAGAATTGCTTCCCTGAGACTGACAGGGGAATGCAGCATCTCAGGCTCCCTCTTCTCTCCCTCCAGGAGGCTGGATGGGAGCTGTGACTTGAGGTGCCACAGGCTGCTCCCGACAGAGGCATTTACCCCAGTTACTGCCTACTTTCCTCTGCCCCTGTGGGGCTGCTGGCTGCCACCCTGGAGGTCAGGGCCATCTTGAGGTTGCTCCAGTGGGGTGCATTTTGGCAGGAAATCCATGTGAAAGGTCTTCAAGGGCAAGGTGAATTAGGGCTCCCTGTCTGCAGGCAGGGAGTTTTATAGAGACCTTGAAGTCCACCGAATGCAAAACTCCACAACTAGGGAGTTGCGGCTAGAATTCTCTTGACATGGGGGCCGCAGGCTGCAAAGGCTGGCCGTTTTAAGATCTCCACGTGCACAAGAGGCCCTAGGCACTCTCACTTTGTGAAGCACCTTCTTGCATCCCATCAATCACAATCAAATGTTCCCACATCCCATATGAAATGCAATTCATGTATAAACGTCAGGTTGAAGATGACTAGAGGCCTGGAACAGATTCTTTCTTAGAGCCTTCAATGAGAGCATGGCCCTGTTTGGAGTTTTGGGATATAAAAACCAAGATTTCAGTTCCAGGTAACTCACTACCATAGCCAAAGAAACCTGCCCTTCTGCTTTCTAGATGACCAGGGAAGATTGTTTTAGTCTTTAGTTGTGAATGGAATCCATTTTGCAGTGACTGAGTTAATTCTGCTTTAATCATTGATGATGCTTCAAAGCCCCTAACCAACTGCAGCTCAGAAGCCAGTCAATAAAAAATAAAACTGTCATAAATGAGAAGGGCCTGGGGAGCATAGTTGGCTGGAGCCTCCTGAGTGCCTCTGGCTACTTCTCTCAGATTCATCACAAAGTCATCCTGCTGTTGACAGTTTGGTTCTGACTGTGGCCCCTTGTTACGGGCTGACCGTGTTCCCCCTACCCCCAAATTTATATGTTGAAGTCCTAACCCCCAGCACTTCAGAATGTGACTGTATTTGGAGATAGGTCTTTAAAGAGGTAATTAAGTTAAGATGAGGCCATTAGGGTGGATCCTAATCCAATATGACTAGTGTCCTTATAAGACAAGGAGATTAGGACTCAAACACATACAGAGGGAAGACCATGTGAAGACTAGGAGAGAAGATGGCCATCTACAAGCTAAGGAGAGAGACTGCAAAAGAAGCCAACCCTGCTTACACCTTGATTTTGGACTTCCAGCCTCCAGAGCTGTGAGAAGATAAATTTCTGTTGTTTAAGCCACTCAGTCTGGTACTTCGTTATGGCTGCCCTAGTTCTGATAATGGACTTGTGCCTCAATCTCTTTCTCTAGGACATACCTCCTTCCCCCGACGCCCGCCCCAATCTGATCTTTCCAATCCCTCTCCGAGGGGCTGGTTCTGTTGATCGTGGCTTGATTCTCTGTATACACTTTTATGAAGCCAGTTCTCAAGACTCATGAGCATCACAGCCCCTGGATTGCTTGCTGAGATGCTGTCATGAGTTTTGCTTGCCCATCAAACTTCTTTTGGGAAACCTCCTTTTTCCCATCCCATGTGTTTGTAGTAGGGCTTAGTCATAGCATCTGCCTTCCTTCCACTGAACTACCCATCTGGACCATTATTCTTGATCAAGAAACATTTCAGAGGGAGAATCTAATGGTTTTATCTTTTTTTTTTGGTTGCGCTGGGTCTTAGTTGAGGCTCGCTGGCTCCTTAGTTGTGGCATGCAAGCTCTTAGTTGCGGCATGCATGTGGGATCTAGTTCCCTGACCAGGGATTGAACCCGGGCCTCCTGCATTGGGAGCATGGAGTCTTAACCACTGTGCCACCAGGGAAGTCCTGAGAATCTAATGGTTTTGGTGGCCAGCTGGATATGGGGAGAGAGAGTAGAAAATATCAGTACTCTGGCTTGGGCATTTGGATGGATGCTTGTGAGACTGGGAACATGGACAGAAAAGAAAATTTGGGAGAAAGTGATGAACTTTGGCTTTCAACAGCTAAGAAGTGAGCTGATAAAAGTGATGTTTTAGGAAGTCTCATTTAGGATTGATGAGAGTCTGGAGGTTGGGAGACCAGGGAAGAGATAATACTTGATCCTGATGTGAGAAGAGAAATGATGTTATTAACCAACCACTTCTGCCTAAAGGATCATGGCAAATGCCGGGTTCAGTTGAACATGGTTTTTCAAAAGTGGACCCGGAGGCTGTTTGCTGCTGTCACCAAGCAAGTCACACCTTCCCTAACTTACTACCTGGAGTCAGCTCAACCCTGGCTCTGGCTTTGATTGGAATTTCACAAAATGATAGAGGGGCAACCATTTCCATTAAATCGACTTCTGTGGGCTTTGCTTGGACCAGAGGGCATGACTCTTTGGGGACATTTGGAGGCTGATGGACAAACCAAAGAATTCCTACAAAACCCTGAACGTTCCATTGCAGTTAAGTTCTTCATGGACATATATAGGTGAGAGATCAAGTGAAAAGGGGAAGGAGAATATGGGGTTAGACTAATCCACAGTCCCAGCATGGAAAGAGGCAACAAGGAGGAGGGTTGTGGATGAGTCGTGTTTTGGGGGATCCACGGGACGCGTGTTTTTTTTTTCAAAACTTTAGACTGTCTTGAACATTCCAGTTACAACTTCTCTACGGGCAACTTAAGTTTCAATGGGAGTTTGCTAGATTTCAGTGATAATGAATACAGGTGGCTACAAAGTTAAAGTTTAATTTAGTTCAAATAAAATATTTACTAAAAAAAAAAAAAAAAAAAGTGGACCCGGAGATGTGTTGGGGAATGGAAACTGGAAAGAGTCCATGATTTTGCAAGGTAGAAGGAAGGGCATTTGAAGTTCCCAAGGGTAATCAAGAAGTGAGGAGGTGAGAGAGAAAGATGGAAAGAGGAAGGAGGAAGGAGAACCAGAGACCTGTCTCAGCCTGGTGCTCCCTTGTGGAGTCAAGTGACTGCTGAAGGCAAAGGAATCTAAAGCACAAGATATCCAGTGTTTGATTTTAAGTTCTTTGCTTTGCTCCACCCACCTAAACTTTCCATTTCCCCTAAGCACACAGACTTCTTTGGTTTTGCTTTTAAAAGGAAATCGAGGAAGGGTCTGAGTGTGGATATTTTCAGAAAAGCAAGAGCATCTATGATGTGATAGGATGCACGCCCTGGGTGGCCTCAGTTGGCAGCTGGGTTTCACTTATACTGTTTGTTATCTGCCTCAGGTCTGAACTCACCAGCTGGGTCTGAAACCTCCCTTTAGATTCCTGGGTCCCACCACACACCAGAGGTGTCTGGCAAGCATTTGTTGACTGACTGATTGCCTCCAAAAGGTTCTCCCATAAGAAGTCTCCCAGTGACCCACCTCGCAGTTCTGTCCAGTAGGCTGGCCTAGAGAATGCTGCTCCAAAGATAGTGCAGAGGTTGCCCACTGCCACTTTGAGATCACAGTAAGGGAACTGGCTGCACTTAAAGAGGCAAAGGTTCACTCAGCAGCTTCAAAAACATTTTTTTTTTCAGCCAAGTTTCTGTTCTGCTAGCAGTTCTTGCTTGTGACCTAGAAGCGGCCAGTGCCCCAGGGAACGATGCTGTCTAAACTTCCTCCTATTTCCTGGCCTCCCCTCCCCCCACCTCCACTGGGCACTTGGGCTTCCCAGCAGCCTTTGCAGGCCTTTCCCGCACCCCTCCTCCAGCCACGTCCCTGCTCGGAACCCTCACCCTATCAGATGCAGGCCCGCAGCTGGACTGCAGCCAAGGGCAGCCATGAATGTTGGCACCGGGCTTAAATCCACACTGGCGTCCCTCCTGCCTGCAGCGGGTCCAGTCTGGTCTTCCTGTGCTAACTTCTCTCTCTGCTCTGGCCAAGGTGCGTGTGCAGAGTTTCTTGGTCCAAATCATACACTCACAGCTGGGATTTGTGTTACTACATGCATTCTGAGCTTTGTGGATATGTACTCCAGAAATGTCTGTAAGTTAATTTTTCTTTTGCACGTTGGTTTGTTTGATCCATTAATGAATGCACCCCTCCACTTTATGACATTCTAGAGTCCTCTTTTCCTTGTCTTTGAATGGAAATGATTACTTGTTTGGTTGCCCGGATCTGGCTGGGAGCTGGGCCAAGAATCCCCTCTTACACACACCACTCAGTGCCCACACGCATCCACAGTCCTCTCAAAAACACTGACTCATCCCCTCTATCAGCATCATTCATTCACTTACAAGAATATTGAAGCCTACTGGGTGCCAGGGGCTGTGCTAGGCGTTAAGGGCACAGTGCCAAAACAAAACAATGGCCCTGCCATCCTGGAGCTTGGAGTCTAGTGGAGGATATAAATAAGCAAACAATTTAATCTACTGATGTAAGAGGAAAAGATGGGAACACCTAAGCCAGACTTGGAAATTCAGGGACAGTTTTAGGAAGAAATGCCATATGCATGGTTGATGTTGACATTAATGGTGGCCTTAAGGCATGCTGTGTATGTATCATAGAAGCAAATTCCATAATAGCACCAGACATAAGGAAACAGGGAAAAACATCGACTCAGTGGTTTTTCCATTTCTTGGTTCAAAATGTTTTCATTGGCAGCCTCTAAAAGTGGAATTGTAGTTTATTGCTTGTCACCTTTTCACCTGTAGAATCTGTACTTTGTAGAGTCAAGACTTTTATCTTTGTAGAGTCAAGACTTGTTCATCATTCTAATAGATAAACTTATTACCCTATGGTAAAGCTCCAACTGGACTGATCCCCCCCACCGCCCCCCGTCTGCCCCTGCTCAAGGTCAGCCTCATCTCTAAGCCCCGCTTTCTGGATATTGACCATAAACTTCTCATAGAATGAGTGCCTTAAAAATATGTGCTGATGGGTGGGATAGGGAGGGTGGGAGGGAGATGCAAGAGGGAAGGGATATAGGGATACATGTATACGTGTAGCTGATTCACTTTGTTATACAGCAGAAACTAACACAACAGTGTAAAGCAATTATACTCCAGTAAAGATGTGAAAAAAATATGTGCTGATATATACACTATTGATACTATGTATAAAATAGATAACTAATGAGAACCTATTGCATAGCACAGGGAACTCTACTCAATGCTCTGTGGTGACCTAAATGGGAAGGAAATTCAAAAAAGAGGGGATATATGTATACATATAACTGATTCACTTTGCTACGGTAGAAACTAACACAACATTGTAAAGCAACTATACTCCAATAAACATTTTAAAAAACATATATGCTGAAGGTGGGCAGACAGGGAAACAGCGCCTATTACTTTATATATATATGTAACCAAATCCACCAGTAACTTTGGAAAATTTAAATTTGGAGTTAATTCAGGTAAGTCATAGTACGTGATATTTGTTGAGTGCTTACTACGTGTTAGGTGCTAAGAGCTTGATATGTGTGCCCTCATTTCATCCTCATAACCACCCAGGGAAGTAGGAACTATTAGCTCCCCAGGGTAGAGATGAGGAAAACGCACAGCCGGGTTGAGTAATTTGCCTCATGTCTCACAGTCAATGGCCAGGCAGGGTGAGAACTCAGGGCTCCTTGCTTTGGAGCCTGGGCTCCTGACCACACTGACTCTCAAAAGTACTACTTGCTTGGGCTTCCCTGGTGGCGCAGTGGTTGAGAGTCCGCCTGCCGATGCAGGGGACACGGGTTCGTGCCCCGGTCCGGGAAGATCTCACATGCCGTGGAGCGGCTGGGCCCGTGAGCCATGGCCGCTGAGCCTGCGCATCTGGAGCCTGTGCTCCGCAACGGGAGGGGCCACAGCAGTGAGAGGCCCGCATACCGCAAAAAAAAAAGTACTACTTGCTCGTTGGTTTTTCATGCACAGAACAAAGCTCTCTTTAAGAGTTTTGATGCTTCAGGTGGAGAGGACGTTTGGTCTCAGGAATCTGATTGTGGAGTGTGTGGAAAAGAGATCGTGGAGAGAGAGTGTGTGTGAACCATGGCTGCCTTGGCCTTTGGGCGAGGCTGTGGACCCCACTCTTACAGGTTTGACCCTCGCCCAGGGCCACCAGGAGTGGGTGGGTGGGTAGGTGGGAGCTGAAATCCAGCACAGCTTCCCATGTCAAGCCCAAAGGGGGCGCCCTTTTCCAGTTCTGCAAAGGTGCCTGTTGCCTTGCACATCAGCGCTGGGCCGTTGCCCACCTCTTCCTCCCAGACACGCTGCTCTGTCTTGCCTGACCTCAGGTGCAGACCCAGCTCTTCAGAGCCCATTTTTGGCCTCCGGGCCTGCCCCATGTAGATTTGAGACTTTGTAGGGCCAACATCGTTCTCCTTGCTCTGCCCCAGACTCACACTCAGCCGCCAGGATCTCACACGTGGAGATGGATTCGGCTTTCTGACTTTCCTGGGAGGAGAGTTCCAACAAGAGCAGAGCATTAGGGAAAAAGACAGAAAGAGAAGAAGAGGAAGAAATAGCATGGGTGATGGATTGCTCATTTGTGGGCCTTAGGAGAAAGGGGCCCACATCTCCAGCCAGGTATAATCCCTACCTTCTCAGCCCTTCCCAGCTAACAGGGGAGATAAGTTGGACTAATGGGATCAGCAGACATTTACAAATAGGTACAAAGCATCGAGTTTCAATTTCCTGCAGGCTACTTGTAAGAAATATTAAAGGACAGATATGAAATCAACTAAGTATATCCTTGGAAAGCTAACTTCTCTGGCCAGAATAAGAAATAAAATATCTGTCTCTTATTAAAAGATACATGTGCTTCCACAATACAGGGGATCCGTGTGTGGGTGTGTGCATATGTCATTAGTTGTGCCTGCCTAAGTGTGCCCATACTGGTGTGTGACTGTGTGTTTGCATGTGTGCACGTGGAGCTGTCTGCCTGCAGCATCGATAAAGCACAATGTTGCAGTTGCTTTGGAAACAGCATTCTTGCCCTGGCACAGCTGGGGACAAGGGGGTGTGGCAGGCTGTGACATGGCCGTGTGGCTTTGATTCCCTCAGGGATGTGGAGGATCTCGGGCACTTGGTGCCTCTCTTTAGTCTGAATACACATGGGCCACATGGGATAACAAGGTGTAGGGAGGTGTCACTTAAGGAAGTTAAGAAATGCTCATTTGGAGGCAAATCTGGGAAAGAAAGCCAGCGGGCTGTGTAGACATGCTCCTGGATCCTCGTTTTCTGCTCCCTGGAGAATGGCACCGGTTCCTCCCTTCAGTGAGGTCTCTTCCAGAGGAAGCAGTTATGGGGCGAGGTGTTGCCCCTTTCCAGCCACTGGGGGACACGACTTAAGGCATCCTAGGGAGCACCCTATATTTGTTTTACATAATGGAATGCTAGCAGCCACATTGTACTTTGGGGAAGAGAGGATTTGGGGGAATCCTGCTGGGCAAATGAAATGATTCAGTGAGAAAAAACCCGGTTAGAGTAATGGTCTGTGGAAAAGCTTATAAGTACAAATATAGATTTATATAGCATATGTGCTGGTGTTTTTTGTTTGTTTGTTTGTGGGGTTTTTTTGGCCACACTGAGTGGCTTGTGGGATCTTAGTTTCCCGACCAGGGATTGAACCCGCGCAGTGCTGGTGTACTTTTGAATGAGGTGCTTATTCTCAGACCTTAATAAATAATATCATTAAATCATTTAAGAAAACTAGGAGCTAGACAGTGCAAATCCAGGGATGAAAGATCCAGTCTATGTTCTGACGGAGTTCACAGAGTGTGGAGAAAGTGTTTAATTCAAGAGATAATTGCAACAAAGTGTGATTTGTGTGAAGAAAGAAGTACCAGGTGTGGCGGAGCAGGGAGGAGGGAGGCGAACCAGAAGGGGTGGGGGATGGCAAGCTCTCCATCCTCCCACCAAGCCCGTTCCTTATTCATACCAGCCTGGGAACTTGTCGTTCCTGACCAATGAGTCAGGAGAGGAGAATGGTAATGAGTAAAGGAATGTCAATGTCAATGTTACTTGGGTGGGGGGGTGGGGGTGCGTGTGTGTGTGGGGAAAGCCCACAGCAGCAGGCTCTGCTGGATGGTAATCTGACAGATGAAAGCACTGACTGCAAATTGGTGCCGCTGTTAGTGAATACGCATGTGACTTTGCAGGTGACCATCGAGTGGGTGTGAGAACACGGGTCCTAATGATCAGGACACGCAGAACTGTCGTTTGTTTGGTTTGCAGGATGGCAGGTGCTGTGCAAAGAACTCTGCAGCCCCTCATCTCATTTAGTCCCCACTCATCCTCGTCCCCAGTGGACTGCCCTGGTGGTCCAGTGGTAAGACTCTGCGCTTCCACGGCAGGGGGCGCGGTTTGATCCCTGGTCGGGGAATTAAGATCCCGCGTGCTGCACAGGGAAGGAAGGGAGGAGGGAAGGAAGGAAGGAAGGAAATGGCACTTCAGCGAGGTTAATAGGCAGTGAAGCTTCAGGTCTTTATGCCTTTGCTTCCCCCAGCTTGGTGAGCAGTTTCTCATCCCTCCAGGGTCCAAGTGATGGAGGAAGGAGGGAGGAGGGGCCATGAAAGATCTTACTTGGCAGGTCCTGTCTTGAACTTGTGGCCACATCAAAAGGTTGAATGAAGGGAATATTTTAGCTCAAAAAAAGAGAGGTAGACTTGTTTAGCTTTGGAGGAAAGGGATCACTGGGAAATAATAATGATGGTTAAAACTATCTGAGTCCCTTTTTCTGTACTGTGCAAACACTTACATAACCAGAGGTGACTACAATTACTTTTTCCCATTTTACTGTTAGGGAAACCGAGGCTCTGAGAAAAAAGTAATTTGTCAAGGTCAGAGAGCTTCTTAAGTGGAAGACGAGGGGTTTGGGTCCAGAGGCTTTGACTTCAGAACCTGGTCTCTTAATGACTTTGCTATCTGAAGTTGGAAATCGATCAGGAGAGGAAATTACTATTCCTTAAAACTTGACAATTTGCCTTCTTTCTTGGAAATATAACCAGACTGGATAGAATTTCCTGTTAATAGCTGGTATTGAAGCAAATCTAATGAAAATGTGTAACCTGAAAAAAACACACCACTCTCTGAAATGGGACTAATTTATGATCATAAAGGGATCTCTTGTGTTTGAAAATAAACAACAACTTGATTTGATGGTATGTAAAGAATTAGGAAAACAGGGCTTCCCTGGTGGCGCAGTGGTTGAGAGTCCGCCTGCCGATGCAGGGGACGCGGGTTCGTGCCCCGGTCCGGGAGGATCCCACATGCCACGGAGCGGCTGGGCCCGTGAGCCATGGCCGCTGGGCCTGCATGTCCGGAGACTGTGCTCCGCAACGGGAGAGGCCACAACAGTGAGAGGCCCGCATACCGCAAAAAAAAAAAAAAAAAAAAGAATTAGGAAAACAAAACAAATCTCAAGGGAATGAATTTGTATACCTAGAAACTATCTCAAGAGAATTATTTCTTGCATTGTATACTTGGGAGCATATTTCATACAGTCGAACTTGCACCCGGAAATAACTTGTGGTAGGAAATAAGATATCCTCCTCCCAACTCATGACCTGTAGGGAGAGAAGAAGAATATATCACTGATAACGGTTTTAGCACAGGAAGCTGTGATTTCAGTTTGTCCCTTTCTCAATGCTTTAGGTTAGGTGGTGCTCACAGAAGCATTGAAACACATTTTACATGTTACAATTCCCCAAAACATTTTTAGTTCAAGAGACTGAAATATTTTGGGTGGAAGTGGGCATTTTGGAAGGGAGTACCTTGCATACGCCAGTCCTCACCCCTTTATCCAAGCCATTCCTTCTGCATATCTTCATTGTCCCTACTTGTTGCCATCATGAAAGGCCCACAGATTGTCATCTGTTCATGGAAGCCTTCCTAATTGCCAAATGGGCTGTCTGCCTCCATTGAACCCTAGAGAGTTTTGCAACATTTTACCTTGTATGAGAGTTGCCTTTGTGTCTCTGTTCTAATTATAGAGTTCTCTGTTAGTAGGTAGGAGTCCAGCTTTAGAGCAGGGGTTGCAAACTATGGCCTGCAGGTCAAATCCAGCCCACAGCCTGTTTTTGTACGGCCCTTGGGATAAGAATGGTTTTTATATTTTTAATTGTCAAAAGAAGAATACCATTTCGTGACACGTGAAAATGATATAAAATTCAGATTTCATTGTCTGTAATTAAAGTTTTATTGGAGCAGAGTCACACTCATTTGCTTATGTATTGTCTATGGCTGCTTCTGAGCTGTGACAGCAGAATTGAGTAGCTGCAACCGAGACCACCTGGCCTGAAGCCTGCAATATTTTCTATCTGATCCTTTACAGAAAATATTTATTGACTTCTGCTCTAGGCCAGGTGTTCTCAAATTTTAGTGTGTACCAGAGTAACAGCGGGGGCCTCCTTAACACACAGATTGTGGGCCCCACCCCTGTAATTTCTGATTCAGAAGGTCTGAGGTGGGTCCTGAGAAGTTGCATTTCTAGCAAGTTCCAGGTGCCTCTGCTGCTGCTGGTTGGGATCCACACTTTGCGAATCCCTGTTCTAGACGTAAAGAATGGTCTTTGAAATCACAGATACATCTTTTTAAAAAAAAATAAATTTATTTATTTATTTATTTACTTTTGGGTGTGTTGGGTCTTCGTTTCTGTACGAGGGCTTTCTCTAGTTGCAGCGAGCGGGGGCCACTCTTCATCGCGGTGTGCGGGCCTCTCACTATTGTGGCCTCTCTTGTTGTGGAGCATGGGCTCCAGACGCGCAGGCTCAGTAGTTGTGGCTCACGGGCCTAGTTGCTCCGCAGCACGTGGGATCTTCCCAAACCAGGGCTCGAACCCGTGTCTCCTGCATTGGCAGGCAGATTCTCAACCACTGCGCCATCGAGGAAGCCCCACAGATACATCTTTAACTAATTTGTTATTTATCGAGCAATTAACCTCTCTCTGAATCTCAGTTTCTTCATCTGTAAAATGGGATTCATGATAACCAAGTCAGATTGTCTGAAGATTCAGTACATGAAGTCTGTGAAGGTTCCTGGAACATGTGGTAGGGATTCAATGAATGGGCATTTCTTTTTTTTTTTTAAATAAATTTATTTATTTACTTATTTTTGGCTGTGTTGGGTCTTTGTTGCTGTGCGCGGGCTCTCTCTAATTGTGGCGAGCAGGGGCTACTCTTTGTTGCGGTTCATGGGCTTCTCATTGCGGTGGCTTCTCTTTGTTGTGGAGCATGGGCTGTAGGTGCGCGGGCCTCAGCAGTTGCGGCAGATGGGCTCAGTAGTTGTGGCTTGCGGGCTCTAGAGCACAGGCTCAGTAGTTGTGGCGCACGGGCTTAGTTGCTTTGCTGCACGTGGGATCTTCCCAGACCAGGTCTCAAACCCGTATCCCCTGCATTGGCAGGCGGATTCTTAACCACTGCGCCACCAGGGAAGTCCTGGGCATTTCTTTCTTTCCCACCTGCCCTCCCTCTTTCCTTCTATTCTCTCTCCCCACCCCTTCTCTCTGAGAAGGAACTGTACCTACTTATTTTCTCACTGCCTCTGAATCACCTGCCTTCATGAGGCTTCTTGGGAATTTTCTAGTCATGTACAATTCATGATGTGTCTCCCTCCAGTGTGGTGTTTGTTGTCACCCAAGCAAGGCAGTCTGGGGAAACCATTCTTACCTAATTTACTTGAGCACACACTGTGTTCATGTTTCTATACTAAGGAAGAAAATTTAGATCAAGGACTAAATTGATGGTGGGATGAATTGGGAGATTGGGATTGACATATATACACTAATAGATAAATAAAATAGATAACAAATAAGAACCTGCTGTATAAAGATAAATAAATAAAAGTGAAAAAATAAGTAAAAGTGAAAAAATAAATTAATTAAAAAATTAAAGGTTGCCCTTTAGTTAATTGTAATCAGGTGGTTTTGTCTTCTTTCCCAGGAAGAATGATAAAGGGCAAGTGCTTTAGAAACAAAACCATACCAAAATCTTTAAGGAACCAGGTATGAATACACTTAAAAGAAATACAGCATTTTTCTTGGGCCTGGTTTTAAAACCATGATTAAATTAAGCACACAAAAATAGTAAGTTTTCCCTGGGAATATTTTTCCCTTAAAATTTAACCATTCCTGCTTCATAAAAATTGTTATGAGAATCAGGGCTTCCCTGGTGGCGCAGTGGTTGGGAATCTGCCTGCCAATGCAGGGGACACAGGTTCGAGCCCTGGTCTGGGAGGATCCCATATGCCGCGGAGCAACTAGGCCCGTGAGCCACAGCTACTGAGCCTGCGCGTCTGGAGCTTGTGCTCTGCAACAAGAGAGGCTGCGACAGTGAGAGGCCCGCGCACAGCGATGAAGAGTGGCCCCTGCTCACCGCAACTGGAGAAAGCCCGCGCACAGAAACGAAGACCCAACACACCCAAAAAAAAAAAAAAAAATTGTTATGAGAATCAAATGAGATAATATAATTGTATTTGAAAATTATAAAGTACTGTTTAAATGCAAAGGAAATCAGGTTTCCCACATTAAGTCACAATCTCATTAGAGGAGAAAGTGCAATTTATTGGATGAATAGCAAAGGGTGCAGAGAATTAGGTAGATGCTGGGGGACGCCACTTCTTTTTATCTGAGCCCCTGGGAATCTATGCACCTTAATTTACCTGTTAAGTTAATTATAGAGAAGACCTTTTAACTTCCTTGCTTTCGGATTTCTTATTTTCTTTCTCTACCTGTGGCAGAACCTGAAAAATGAGGACTTAACCTCCTACAGATTCCCTCCATACAGGGTACAAAATGTTGGTTGTTTACTCTCCCTTAGCCCTAGTTTGAAAGAGGTACTTTTTACCTTTACCTTTTTTGCTTTAGTGGCCTCCTCCCATCAGCTCTTTGGCTTCTTCAGCTGTGGCTACATCTGCAAATCACGTTTATGCTAGTAACTCCCTTCTACTGAGAAAAAAATGTTTTTAGGCAGTGGTGTGCTGGTAAATGCTTAACAACCGACTCTCTGGGAAGATGGATGCATATATGTTTGTATATTTATTATCACTATTACTGATATAAAGGATGTGTAGCACACAATTTACAAATAAAGACAAAATAAGCAATACTCTTGTAAATTCCGTAGAGCTGATTGATTTTCACAGTATGTTTTTGCTGATTTGTGCTGAATGCTTGTATCTGTAGCCAACTTACGGTTGCTATTGACCAGAAAGTGTAGTTCCACCATAAATGTTGGCTGATGTTTTCCTTTATGTTAACCAGTAAGATGAAAGTGCAATAACCAAAGACATATGTAGGGATGTTGGTCCATGATATGAGCGACTCCTTTGCTGGATTGGATAATAGCTTTTGTTTTTGTTTTTTAAATTTTATTTATTTATTTTTGTCTGCGTTGGGTCTTCATTGCTGCGCGTGGGCTTTCTCTAGTTGCGGCGAGCAGGGGCTACTCTTCGTTGCGGTGTGCGGGCTTCTCATTGCTGTGGCTTCTCTTGCTGCGGAGCACAGGCTCTAGGTGCACGGGTCTCAGCAGTTGTGGCATGTGGGCTCAGTAGTTGTGGCTGGCAGGCTCTAGAGCACAGGCTCAGTAGTTGTGGCGCATGGGCTGCTCCATGGCATGTGGGGTCTTCCCGGACCAGGGCTTGAATCTGTGTCCCCTGCATTGGCAGGCGGATTCTTAACCACTGCACCACCAGGGAAGCCCTGGATAATAGCTTTTGAGTCCTGGAAGAATATTTCCTTAATTTGGGGGTGATTTTTATAAATACATATTTAATTTTAATGCATGATTGACATTATTCTCCATCATTTTCTTAAGCCTAGATGATCAATAAAGCAATAAGTCAAGGTCTGATTTGTAGCATTTGTCAATTTCTGTGGTGTATATACTCCTATTGCTGTGTAAACTTAGGCCACTCCACTGACTTGGGATGTAGGACATCATTCAGCAGTGTGGGGGAAGGCCCTCCAGAGGGGATGTTCCCTGGCTCCCCCTGGCTTGCCCTCACTTCTAGTCCGTGTGCTCCTAGTTGGGAGTATCAGCTGAATTTTTAATGTTCGCTATGTATTCTTTGCTAATTTTCCTTCTTTTTGCCTATTTCTTTCAACTTTAGAAATGGGAATTCTGGATATCTGCCTCGCAGCTATCATTCTTTTTTTTTTTTTTTTTTTAAAGAAGATGTTGGGGGTAGGAGTTTATTAATTAATTAATTCATTTTTGCTGTGTTGGGTCTTCGTTTCTGTGCGAGGGCTTTCTCTAGTTGTGGCAAGCGGGGGCCACTCTTCATCGCGGTGCGCGGGCCTCTCACTATCGCGGCCGCTCGTTGCCGAGCACAGGCTCCAGATACGCAGGCTCAGA